AGTCCTTTTTCTCCTAGGATTTTAGTTCTACTGAGTCATCTCTTTTATATGCGTATTCTTACAAAACTCACATACCGATATCTTATAAATGTCTACTTGAAGTTGATATGGTATGTTTGATCAAGACGTGTAACGACACAAAACTTTGGTTGTGCTTGTGTGCATTTTTTTTTATTATTATTCTTTTACAATCTTATTTTTTCCTATTTTCATCACGTCATCAGCAGAAAGCTGTAGCTGCAGACTCGTTTTTTTTTTTTTTACGTGTACACTTAGGACACAAAGAGATCTAGAAGAAAAATCGGGGGAGGGGGATTTAAAGAAGACAGATCAAAGTTTAATCTATCAAATCAATCAATCAATCAATAATTTATTTAAACACGTATCGTCCAAGAGCTTATAAAGCTCGTTCAAAATACGAACGTGTACAAAAGGTTATACATTAAAAACTATATTACACTAAATATTAAGTATATAAATTAAGGAGCTAATATCTAATGCTATTTTTTCATCGCTGGTGAAGAAAAACAAATGCGACCACCGAAAAAAATAGTTATTCAAATTTATGTCGTTGATTGCTGAAAAGCTCCGAATTCGTTACTTGAAAATAAATATAATAATGTAAAAGTTGTGAACAAATTTATTTCCTTGACTGGTGGCTAAAAATACATTTGACAAACCCTTTTTTGGAGAAGTATTCAAGACTGAAACATATTTCTAGAGTTGCTTTTCGTTTTGGAGTCGTTGACTGTTGTCACATCAAGGGAACTGCTGTAAGATATCGCTTGCTCGCAGGAACAAGAAAAAATCACTCGAAAGTTAAGAAGGAACAAGATATTTAATGAGAGATCAAAAGCCGATTTCGATTTTTTTCATAAAATTATTATAAAGGCTAACATTCAATTCTCAAAAAAACTAGTAAAACATATCTCGATTAAGCACATTATGATAATAACTCTGGCTGTATTCTCAATATTAGCGTGACAAAGATTGTGTTGTGGCTTGTTCGCTGCCTAGCCAATGCGCCTACTTGTTTCAACCAAGTTCATTTACAAACGAAAACGACCTTTTCTTTCTTAGATAACAACTGTGCTGACAGATTGATTGGTGTAGAGAACAGATATGTCATACCTGACAGCAGTTTTACAGCAACTTCTAAATACGACAGCAGTTACAACCCATATCACGCTAGACTCAATAGTAACTTAAAAGGATGGTGTGCAAGAACACGAAGCGATCCAAATGACTATCTACAGATTAATCTTGGACTTCCTTACGTCATCTGTGCTGTAGCAACACAGGGTAGCAGTGATGGTAGTGCGGAGTGGGTGACACAGT